GATGAGGACTCTTTCCGTACCACTGTCCGCGTCGCCTCGTCCATCACCACGCGGTGTTCAACCACCACCACACTACATGTCACAGCAACTCACCCATTCACTTACCTACTCGTTAACTCACTCACCCGCTTGCTCACTCACTCACCACACTGCAGCTCACCCACTCACTCACTCACTCACGTGCTCATCCGCTCACCCACGTGCTCATCCGCTCACCCACTCACCACACTGCAGTTCACCCACTCACCCATTCACTTACCTACTCGTTAACTCAATCACCCACTCACCACACTGCAGCTCACCCGCTCACTCATTCACTTACCTACTCGTTAACTCACTCACCCGCTCGCTCACTCACTCACCCGCTCAATCACTCACCCATTCACTTACATACTCGTTAACTCACTCACTCACCCGCTCGCTCACTCACTCACTCACCACACTGCAGCTCACCCGCTCACCACACTGCAGCTCACCCGCTCACTCACTCACCCATTCACTTACATACTCATTAACTCACTCACCCGCTCACCCACTCACTCACTCACCCACTCACCCACTCAACACACTGCAGCTTATATCGTTTCTCAGCTTCTTCCCTCACTCTGTTCCACTCCGGAATCTCCTCCCATCATCGTCTCGTTCCCCAGACCTCTCATAACAACAATAACCTCGCTCCATTTGACAAACGCGTTACACGCTTTATCTGTTGCAACTTTAATACGAGTGCCGTTTGTTGCCGGCCGCTTGACGTTGTAAGGCATTTGCTCAGCAAACTGTCTGCAGAACAACAATCGGGGTATTCGCAACAGCATCCCTCCCTCCCCCTCCTCCATCAGTCTTGGAGTGGAAGAGGCTACATGCGGGACCCTTTGTCTGCGAGCAGGGAGCGGTGGCGCAGTGGTTAGCGCACGGCACAACGAACCCGGCGATCGAGACTTCACAATTCACACTCGCGACCAATAACGGTGGAAGCGAATCATAATTCCGAACCGGTTCTGGGCCTCCCGAAGGTCGACTCAGCCTTAGTACTCGATGCTGTTTATAATAAACATCAGCGCTCGGGGGAACAAAGACGGCCGGTTGTGAGGTTGGCCGGGCGTGAGGTTGGCCACCCCATAGCCTTCTCGTGCCACGTGCCGGCCTGAACAAGCGCTTGCCAACACCGTCTCGTGAAGGCGACACACCGAGGGGGCGATTCTTCGTCTGGAGCCGACGGCTCCTGCTGCTGCTGCTGCTACTCGCATTCCTGGCGCGCGTCAATTCCCCCAGCGGCACGTGCCGACTCATTTAGTTCCACGAGGAAAAACAAGCGTGACCCCCCCCTACCACCCACAACCCCCCACCCACACGTGCCCTCCCCCCACCCACCCACACGTGCCCCCCCCCCCTACCACCCACCCCCACCCACACGTGCCCTCCCCCCACCCACAACCCCCCTCTCCCACCCCGTCTACCCCACTGCGCGCCCACCCCCGCCCTCCCCAGGGCGGCGCCCCGGGCTAATGAAGCGGTCCCCTTCACCCTGTTGAGAAGTCATTAAGTGTGTAGCGCCGCTTTGTAGTGGCGGGACAATGCGGCCTCGCCGGCGGCGGCGGCTCCCCACCCCCAACCACCGCTACACCACCACCCCCAACCACCACCACCACCCCCAACCACCGCTACACCACCACCACCCCCAACCACCACTCCCAACCACCGCTACACCACCACCACCACCACCCCCAACCACCACCAACCCCCAACCACCACCACCCCAACCACCACCACCACCACCCCCAACCACCGCTACACCACCACCACCCCACCCACCGCTACACCACCCCCCACCCCCAACCACCCCAACCACCACCACCACCACCCCCAACCACCGCTACACCACTCCCACCACCCCCAACCACCGCTACACCACCACCACCCCCACCCACCGCTACACCACCCCCACCCCCAACCACCCCAACCACCACCACCACCACCCCCAACCACCGCTACACCACTCCCACCACCCCCAACCACCGCTACACCACCACCCCCACCGCTACACCACCACCACCACCCCCAACCACCGCTACACCACCACCCCCACCCCAACCACCGCTACACCACCACCCCCACCCCCAACCACCGCTACACCACCACCACCCACCCCCAACCACCGCTACACCACCACCCCCACCCCCAACCACCGCTACACCACCACCCCCACCCCAACCACCGCTACACCACCACCCCAACCACCGCTACACCACCACCCCCAACCACCGCTACACCACCACCCCCACCCCAACCACCGCTACACCACCACCCACCCCCAACCACCGCTACACCACCACCCACCCCCAACCACCGCTACACCACCACCCCCACCCCCAACCACCGCTACACCACCACCCCCACCGCTACACCACCACCCCCAACCACCGCTACACCACCACCCCCACCCCAACCACCGCTACACCACCACCCACCCCCAACCACCGCTACACCACCCACCACCACCCCCACCCACCGCTACACCACCACCCCCACCCCACCCACCGCTACACCACCACCACCCCCACCACAACCACCGCTACACCACCACCCCCACCACAACCACCGCTACACCACCACCACCCCCACCACAACCACCGCTACACCACCCACCACCACCCCCACCCACCGCTACACCACCACCCCCACCCCACCCACCGCTACACCACCACCACCCCCACCACAACCACCGCTACACCACCCACCACCACCCCCACCCACCGCTACACCACCACCCCCACCCCACCCACCGCTACACCACCACCCCCACTACAACCACCGCTACACCACCACCCCCAACCACTGCTACACCACCCCCCCCACTAGGCAGACGCGCGATCCGATTCTAATGTCGCGCTCCCATTGGCGAATCGATCTTCGACTTTCTTTGTGGCGTCTCTGTACCGTGGTCCGTCTCGTTTGTATTGTTCTGTCTCGTTTGTATTGTTCTGTCTCGTTTGTATTGTTTCGACTCGTTTGTATTGTTCCGTCTCGTTTGTATTGTTCTGACTCGTTTGTATTGTTCTGTCTCGTTTGTATTGTTCTGTCTCGTTTGTATTGTTCTGTCTCGTTTGTATTGTTGTCTCGTTTGTATTGTCTGTCTCGTTTGTATTGTTCTGACTCGTTTGTAATGTTTGTCTCGTTTGTATTGTTGTCTCGTTTGTATTGTTCTGACTCGTTTGTATTGTTCTGACTCGTTTGTGTTGTTTGTCTCGTTAGTATTGTTCTGTCTCGTTTGTATTGTCCATCTCGTCTGCATTGGTCCAGCTCTATGGGCCTCAGTGCTGTTGGCAGTGAGCCCTGTTTATTCAAGGAGAGCTCAGTGCCAAGCATCAGAAGAAGGTGCCCACACTCAACAACGCTCTCCTGCATCAACAACTCTTATCAGTTATTCGGGCAAAATCTTTAACAAATCTATTGTGCAATTGTGTTGTGGGTATAACACCCGAGGTCTTCAGAATCAGTAACCCAACCCTCACCAAACAGCCCACCAGCCAGTCAGCCCCCACCACCAACCTTACGAACCAGCTACTGCCGCTAGTTCAAGCACCAACTCTAACCTTACCAACCACGAGTAGTGCCCCAAAATAGCCAGCCACTAGAACTGGCGCTCACAACAACTGTACACTTACTAACTCTCAAACCAACCACCCACCAGCCTTCTAGCCAATAATACGAGCCCTCACTATGACCCAAACCCACTAACTAGAAACAGCTTTACCGCCTGCCCCTAGCACTAACCCACTAGCACCAGCTTTACCACTGACCCTACCCCACTAGCACCAGCTTTACCACTGACCCTACCCCACTAGCACCAGCTTTACCACTGACCCTACCCCACTAGCACCAGCTTTACCACTGACCCTACCCCACTAGCACCAGCTTTACCACTGACCCTAACCCACTAGCACCAGCTTTACCACTGACCCTAACCCACTAGCACCAGCTTTACCACTGACCCTACCGCTACCTCACTAGCACCAGCTTTACCACTGACCCTAACCCACTAGCACCAGCTTTACCACTGACACTAACCCACTAGCACTAGCTTTACCACTGACCCTAACCCACTAGCACCAGCTTTACCACTGACACTAACCCACTAGCACCAGCTTTACCGCTGACCCTACCCCTAACCCACTAGCACCAGCTTTACCACTGACCCTACCGCTACCCCACTAGCACCAGCTTTACCACTGACCCTACCCCACTAGCACTAGCTTTACCGCTGACCCTACCCCTAACCCACTAGCACCAGCTTTACCACTGACCCTAACCCACTAGCACCAGCTTTACCGCTGACCCTACCCCTAACCCACTAGCACCAGCTTTACCACTGACCCTACCTCTAACCCACTAGCACCAGCTTTACCACTGACCCTAACCCACTAGCACCAGCTTTACCACTGACCCTAACCCACTAGCACCAGCTTTACCACTGACCCTACCCCTAACCCACTAGCACCAGCTTTACCACTGACCCTACCCCTAACCCACTAGCACCAGCTTTACCACTGACCCTACCACTACCCCACTAGCACCAGCTTTACCGCTGACACTACCACTACCCCACTAGCACCAGCTTTACCACTGACCCTAACCCACTAGCACCAGCTTTACCACTGACCCTACCCCTAACCCACTAGCACCAGCTTTACCACTGACCCTACCCCTAACCCACTAGCACTGGCTTTACCACTGACCCTACCCCACTAGCACCAGCTTTACCACTGACCCTAACCCACTAGCACCAGCTTTACCACTGACCCTACCCCTAACCCACTAGCACCAGCTTTACCACTGACCCTACCCCTAACCCACTAGCACTAGCTTTACCACTGACCCTACCCCTAACCCACTAGCACCAGCTTTACCACTGACCCTACCCCTAACCCACTAGCACTAGCTTTACCACTGACCCTACCCCTAACCCACTAGCACCAGCTTTACCACTGACCCTACCCCTAACCCACTAGCACCAGCTTTACCACTGATCCTGCCCCTACCCCACTAGCACCAGCTTTACCACTGACCCTAACCCCTACCTCTGGGCGCCTAACCTGGGCTCGCATTGTCGGCTGACGACAACGCTGGGGGAACAGCGCCCCCTGCTGGAGACTCCGAGAGCACGGCCACTTCCCCCAGTTCCACACACTGACAAAGTTCCCCCATGTCGCCTTCACAGATTGTTGGGGCAAGTACTGTTAGCACTTACTCATGCTGAGCTGCTCCCTAAGGGTTGCCACCTGTCCTTCTTTGTCCCAAGACCGTCCTCTTGTTGAGGCAGGCAGCTGCCATCCGGAGAAAGCTGTAAGTATCTTCCTGGGATCATTAAAAGTCCTGGATCCTTTCAGTTGTGTAATAACAACTAAAAACTGTTCAAGGCGATGCGTTCACATGTAGATCTCCGCTCTGTTGTTATTATTCTCACAAAAGGTCCTGGGTTTTTTGTTGTTGAGCTTCTATGGTGGCCTCTGTCTCATGAGCCCATCCCTCCTAGGGTCCCCATGGCCACCACTCACTCGTGCTGGACTTCCCGGCCCCACCCCGGGACTCCCGGCCCCTCCGCGAGGCCTCATGAAGAGTGGATGGCGGCGATGTCGGAGAGAAGGCCGCTGGCCCGGACATGCGCGTCCAGACGCCGGTCGGCCTCGGCGCGTGACAGGGCGAGGCCCAGCGACGGCTGCCGCTGCTTCGACCTGCTGCCAAGCTTGCTGTGCGCTGAGCAGCACGGCACCGCAGCACACGGAGCACGGGCAGACGCACACACACACAAGGAGAGAGTCACAAAGACAAATATCCCCCGTATAGCCTTAACAGACTGTTGGGGGAAGTGCTGTTAGCGAGCACCTATGAAGGACGGAACGGCACACGAGGGGGTGGGTGGCCAGCACCACACCCGACCGCCTTTGTCTCCCCAGTGGCGATGTTTACACACCGCACACCAGGTACTGATTTGAGGCTGAATCGACCTAAGGGAGATCCATGACCGGTTCAGATAATCGCCACTAGTGTTGGCCATGAGCGAGAATCCAACTCGGGTAGCCGGGTTCGTAGCGCAGTGCGTCAACTGCGACACTACCGCTCTCACACACACACACACAACACACACACACTAGCACACACACACACACAACACACACACACTAACACACACAAACACAACACACACACACTAGCACACACACACTAGCACACACACAACACACACACAACACACACACTAGCACACACAACACACACACTAGCACACACACACTAGCACACACACACACACACTAGCACACACACACACTAGCACACACACACACACACTAGCACACACATGGGTGTAAAAACCACAGGCGCAGACGAAGCAACGGGTTCGTGATTTGACCTGCGACCCCCGAATCGTGGCGGCTCGGCTCACCGCGGTTGAACTGTGCCTCCGCGCTGCGCGCCTCCGCCCTCGCCGCCTCCACCTGCTCCTCTAACGCCTCCAGCTCCTCCGCCCGGGCTCGCCGCTGGTCCCGCAGGCGCGCCGTCTCCTCCTGCAGGCGCAGCTCCATGCGCGAGAGCTCCCGCCTGCTCGCCTCCAACTCCCTGCGAGCGCCGGATGGACGGACGGGCGGGCGGGCGTACGCAGTGTTTACTCAGTCGTAATGTTTTTTATTTAGTCATGATGGTTGTAATGATGGTGATGATGCGGGTGGTGATGGCGTGGTGATGAGTGTGTGATGATGAGGTCAATTAATGGTGAAGATAGGTGTGATGATGATGCTGATGATGATGCTGGTGATGAGTGAGGTGAAGGGGGGGAGTGTAGGAGGGTCACCGGTGACTGGACGTCTCCCCGCCGTCCAACTCCCGGAGTTTCCTCTCCGCCTCTTCCACGACCTTCGCCGACTCCGTGTCCAACAACACCGAGTCCACCTGCTGCAGCATGGGCCACACGGCCACGATCCTATTTCTCTCCAGCTTCCTGCACCCCGCACATCACCCCGCACGTCACCCCTCACCTCACCCCGCACGTCACCCCGCACGTCACCCCGCACGTCACCCCGCACGTCACCCCGCACGTCACCCCGCACGTCACCCCGCACGTCACCCCGCACGTCACCCCTCACGTCACCCCTCACGTCACCCACACGTCACCCCTCACGTCACCCCTCATGTCACCCCGCAGAACACCCGCACACACAGTACGACACCCCACACGTCACACTACACACACTGCACTGAGCCGACACGGTCCAGCACCTGGCGACCCCTGTACCCGGCCAGGGGGATGGAACTGGGGTTTGGAGCCGCGACGATTGGTCAATTGGGCTGAGCGAATGTAGAATTGAAGCGACTCCTTTTTTGTGTTCGATTACCCGGGCCTCTTTAAAAACAGCGGCCGCCCCGAAACCCTTCCTCACGAAGGCGGGAAACCCACCAACGATGGACGGTGACACGGCCTAGCGGTGGCAGGTTCGCCGCTCGATGTGGAGATTCACGGTTTCGATCGCATAGGCGGCCACGGTTAACATTAATAACACCACCACGCGCCGTCTGCTTTGCTCCCAGCAGACGTTAAAGATCCTGTGACGTAATTCGCAAGAGTAGGCCATCGTCTGCCGGCATAATGGTTGAATCTTTCCAAAATTTGAAACGTTACACCGCAATTTACTCAACGTGGATCATGCACAGCAGCAGCAATCATCGCTCCCTACTGTGAAAACTTGGCAGAAGTCTCCTGAAAATGAGCAATGAGGTGCAAGTGAGGCTTTCCTGGCTAAAGGAACAGAATAATAAGTATTAATACGATGACTGTGGTGGCTACGATGCTTGCCATGATGGATACATATTGTTTGTGAGCTGTTTTGGAGTGTTAGGCCTCATGTAGCTACATCCACCCCTGAGCTTCATCCACCCCTGAGCTTCATCCACCCCTGAGCTGCATCCACCCCTGAGCCGTATCCACCCCCAGCCCGCAGGTTCCCCACCCCTCGAGTGGGGAGACACTCACTTCAGGCTGAGCAAGTCCTCCAGTTGCTTGATGTCCGGCTGCAGTTCCTGAATGGCCTCCTTCTCCTCATGCACCTTCTCCTTCATGGCACTCACCATGGCCTGGAAAGAGCTCAAATCACACACAGTGACATCATCACACAGTGACATCACACACAGTGACATCACAGTTACATCATCACGCAGTGACATCACCACACAGTGACATCACCACACAGTGACATCATCACACAGTGACATCACCACACAGTGACATTATCACACAGTGACATTATCACACAGTGACATCATCGCACAGTGACATCACACAGTGACATCACCACACAGTGACATCACCACACAGTGACATCATCACACAGTGACATCACACAGTGACATCACACAGTGACATCATCACACAGTGACACTCACAGTGACATCACACAGTGACATCACCACACAGTGACATCATCACGCAGTGACATCATCACCACGGTGACATCATCACCACAGTGACATCACCAGTGACATCACCACAGTGGCATCATCACACAGTGACATCACCACGCAGTGACATCATCACCACCGTGACATCATCACCACAGTGACATCACCACAGTGACATCATCACAGTGACATCACCACAGTGGCATCACCACACAGTGACATCATCACACAGTGACATCACCACACAGTGACATCACACAGTGACATCACCACAGTGACATCATCACGCAGTGACATCATCACGCAGTGATATCACCAAGCAGTGACATCATCACGCAGTGACATCACCAAGCAGTGACATCACGCAGTGACATCACCAAGCAGTGACATCACCAAGCAGTGACATCACCACGCAGTGACATCACCAAGCAGTGACATCACGCAGTGACATCACCACGCAGTGACACCACCACGCAGTGACACCACCACGCAGTGACATCACCACACAGTGACATCACCACGCAGTGACATCACCACACAGTGACATCACACAGTGACATCACCACAGTGACATCATCACGCAGTGACATCATCACGCAGTGATATCACCAAGTAGTGACATCATCACGCAGTGACATCACCAAGCAGTGACATCACGCAGTGACATCACCAAGCAGTGACATCACCACGCAGTGACATCACCACGCAGTGACATCACCACGCAGTGACATCACCACACTACGTCAGACGGGTACATCAGCTGAGAGAGAGAGAGACGCAAACTTAGTCTCATCACCCGTGGGTTGCCCTCTCTCTCAGCACATCTCGGAAGCTCAGCAGAGGCTGTGCGGGCAGACACTGCGTAACAGGTGCTATCGGCTGGCGGGGCTACGTTGTTGACAGCACAGGATGGTGCAGTTGTACTCTACTTCCATGCCTCCCAACAACCGGTGCTGACCGGCGTGGTGAAGTTATGGTCAAGTTAGCCCGCGTGACCCGAGCGTGTCGCAGCGAGTGAGGGCCTCATCCAGCAGTGGATGAATCACGCGGAGAGAGCGAGAGGAGGAGGAGGGGGTAGGGGGGGTGAGGGGGGTCTCGCTCTCACCGCCGTCTCGTCGAAGCTCCGATTCGTCCCCTCGTCCCCGTCTCGCGGCGACTCGCGATGGCGTCTCGCCGCCATCGCAGCCGCAACTTTCCCGCGCAAAACCGAGTTCGCGTCGCGTGACGTCATTTGGCCGTTGAAGGTGACGTCATTTGGCCGTTGAAGGTGACGTCATGTATCCCCGTGACGCACTTTTTCTATATAAATAAATAAAAGGGAAATTTGTGTGTCTGTTCGAAATGTTTGGCGTACTCCCCGACGTGCAACAAATTTGAAATTTGGCATGTGGGTAGCTTCCAGACTGTACATAATGAAAAAAGTAAAAAAGAGACTTTTGTATTTGGGGGGGGGGGGGCGCAACAATGTATATATTTTGCACGGTAAGTGAGCGGTGACGTCACATCTGTGATGTTAACCGCATGCGGCAGCGTCACGCAGCGTGCCTGCTGACGTCACGCAGCGTGCCTGCTGACGTCACGCAGCGTGCCTGCTGACGTCACGCAGCGTGCCTGCTGACGTCACGCAGCGTGCCTGCTGACGTCACGCAGCGTGCCACCCTCCGCGTAGGCCGTCTATTAATCCAAGACAATAATCCAAGCCTCGGGCGAAGCCGGGTAGTAAAGCGAGTTTTTACATCGTTTTAAGTCGTAAAACGATGCAGAGCAAATACAAATACAGAACTGCGCTGTGTAAGAAAAGCTACCCTGTATTATTGGTTCTTTCGGTAAAGTCACGTAGAAGGGAAACAATAAAATAATAAAAATATAAAATTCTCACGACGTTTCGATTGCAACACAAGCAATCGTCATCTGATGATATGAATCCCTGCGGTCACGAAAGCTTTAAATTAAAAGTTACCCTGGAGTTGGCGTCCTCGTGTCATTTCAGCGGCATTGGGACCGTCCATAAATGACGTCACGCACGTAGGGCGGGGGGTCAGACATTTGTGACGCTGTGTGACGAGGGGGGGGGGGGCGAGAAATGTGACGTCACATTAAAATGCGCAACTTTAAATAAATATAGACAACACGTTCTACTTAATTAAATAGACTTTTTAATAAATGTTTTCTCCTACAACATCAGAGTGCAGCGCCACATTAAATACGCACTACAATGACAATAGTTTAAAGCGATTTGAAGCATGTTTTAATTTGGGGGGGGGGCAGAGTTTTGTGACGTCATATTTGCCACCGTGTGACTAGGGGGGGGGTCAGAAATCGTCCTAAATCGCGTGACGTCATTTATGGACGGCCCCTTTGCTACAAGTGAGCCGTGCATTGCCCGCCTCGGTCAAGGTGGGCCCCCCACCCCTGGGAGGGGGTGCAAACCCGTAATGGCCGAGCTCAAGAGGATGCATCCTCAAGTGGAAGACGCCAGCATTGACGAACCACGAGCCCTCCCAACCCACCGACCGTCTCCAACACCCGTCCACCCTTCTCTGGCCATACACCCACGATGTATACTTTTAAGATTTAAGAATTGTAGGGAAAAAATGTATAGGGATAATTTCTTAATTTTTGTTTTGGTTCGTGTCGCTCACGTTACGTCACAATGGAAGGCGTCTCCGTACCCCACACGTGACTCCACTTTGGGCAGCAAACGCACGGACGTGATTCGCTGGAAGCAACATTTTTGGAATCAATTAAAAAATATTTTCCCCCTATCGAATCATCCAAAATTTCATATCCCAGCCCAAGTTTTGGATTTTTTTTGAGGAATAATCCAAAACACCGACCCACCTCGCAAACATTGTACCTACTTAACGACTCGATTGATGCCCGATTCGCAAACACGAAGGCGGCATCGCAACGATGATGCACCACTCCACGACTCCTGACGAACTCATCTGAACATCGACCGCATCGGTGTAAAATCGAAGTTGCTCTACCATTGACACCAGCCGTACGCAGAACAAAGTACCCGATCGTCCCGCCTGCCTGTCCATTGCCCCTCCACACCAAGCCTCCTTGAATGCGCTACACAATCCCATCAGCGCTTGGATAGTAAGCAGGCCCGAGCTGAGGACTTGGATGGGAGACTCCCTGGGAATACCGGGCGCTATAGGCCGTGAGGTGACCAGTCGATGGAAGTGTATCAATGGATTATTGAATCCTTCTGTCCGGAGCATTGACCTGCAAATTGTGTTCACGGCATGTTGATTGATGCCGTTTCCTCCCACACGCACCAAATATTGATGCTCTTGGCCAAATATTCAAATGCAGCAGGATGTTAAGACTCGGTAAGGCTTTCCTGGGTAAATAGAGAACACCTTTATGTTGTATGATCAGTCACCATTGTTTCCACCTACCTGCTTGAATGCTCAGAACTCTTCCACGTGCCCGTTTATTAACTCGCCCTGTCCATCTGCCCATCAGCTCCTTCACTAGACCAATTTGCTGAAGCAGCTGCAAGAGACGCAATGCTTTGCAGGAGGCAAGGGTTGGTGGGATCACGCAGAGATTTGTGAAGCATCGCTATTGGGGATGCAAAGGCGGCCCGGGAGTGGTGCTGGCCACCCACCTACCACCTCGTGCGCAGTGCCGGCCTTCATCGGTGCTCGCAAACAGCACTTGCCCCAAAGGTCTGCTGAGGCTCTACAGGGGATCTTTGTCTTTGTGTTTCTTCGGGTGCTGAATAACATTTTAAAAAATTACCCGTGACAGAACTGTCCTCGGGAGATCAATGCCACCCCAAGACAACGTTCGCACACAATGACAATGACACGTACGTCCAGACATTGGAGGTTGAGTGGACGACTGTGCAGTGGCACACACCACCGAACCTGCAGATACCACTCACCACCATCATCGGATCAATTTGGTTCATCATCAGAAATCACTCAACATCCTCACATCACTCACGAGCACCATCAATTACCTAACTCCATCCCGCAGTCATCACTCACACTCTCCCATACTGCTTATGAGAGAATGTGAACGCGTGAGGGTAGATGAGTGTGAGTACATGGGATCGAGTGGTTGAATTTGTGCGAGTCACCATGTCTGCGCACGATCCTTCGTGTGAGAGTGGGGAGGCGGTAGTGGAGCGTTCTGCGCTACGAAGCCGGGGACCCGAGTTCGATTCCCGCTCACGGTCAACACCAGCGACGATCATCCAAGTCGACTTAACCTTAAACGAGTACCTGGTGTGGCGTGTCAACATCGCGCCTGGGGAAACATGCGACCGGGCGTGGTGCTGGCCACATCACCCCCTCGTGTGCCGTACCGGCCTCACCAAATGCACGCTTACAGCATTTACCCCCCAACAGTCTCAGGTGATACGCGGGATCTCTGTCCTTTGAGAGTTGGTGACCAAGTGACTCTCTGAGTGACGCGTGTCCTTGGCTGAACGCCGCCACAGCGCGTGGGAGTCGGGACGGCCCAGGACCTGAGCGGCCTTGGCCACGACGCCGCGCACGGGGAGATGGAGGCCCCCAATATAAAGGACGTGGAACGCATGGTCGGCATCCTCGTTGGTAACGCACGAACGGGCCCCCCCCCGGGCCCCCCCCACCCACCCAGTGCCGGATCTCAGTAGCAAAGGTGACTACAAATACTACGGGCCCCGCACTTTCAAGGGCTCCGCGCGAAATGCTTTCAAGATATCAATTCCGGTTCAGTGATTCTGCACTTGCTCTATTACTATAGTACTATACCGCCTTCAACTTTTATGAACAAATGGACGTTTAAGGCTAGTGACAAATACAATTACTTAACAATGCAAGTAAAAAAATTGTTTAATATTTATTTGTGGTTCATGCGGACATGATTCCTTGTAAAAGGTTTCAGTTTGGTGTTTTAACATCTTAACACCTGTTTTGTTGCCAGACGAAGGGGTAACACCTATTCTCATCTTTAACACATGTAACATTGCCAGATACGGTAATAACCTATTCTTCATTTTGATCTCTTACGTTTACGTATTAGTCTGCCCACGGCTTTTTTGCGTGACACTCACGAAGCGGTCGCATTTCCGCCTCCACTCCCTTCCCCAGCATATTCAACCCTCAATGCGCGAAGCCACGCGGTTCGATTCAGGATGAGATTGTTGTAATCGTTTGTATAGTTTCTCATTTATTCTCCGTTTCGTAACTCGTATAGTTTTGCACGCTCGTCTAGCCAGCCAGCCTTCTTGTGTTTTCGTGTTTGCCATCGCAGGGTAGATATCCACACCACTCAACCGCTCAATTGGCACATCGTGTCCAATCGGCTCTTCCCTCCCTCCGCCTTCCTGCCATCACCCAAAGGGGCAGCCCTCGACAACGCCGCCGGCTGATGTGGAGCAGCTCCAGTCACGTGCGGTCGCTGTGGCGTGCAAACCAACCTGCTGCACCAGTGTCAACTCCACCGTCGCAACTATTGGCCTAAATGTCAAATATTTTGAACGATTGTAAATCATCAATTGTCACACGCACAACTTGGCGCATTTATCAGGTGCGTATCAAGTATCGTGGGGTAACGATCGTTTTGGTTGGCTAGTGTGGTTATACCATTGGAACCTCATTTGCCAGTAAAAAATATAATTATATTTTTACGCTTTTTCTGGCAACAAAACTGACCTTTTTTTACAAGGAGTCATGTTTGCATAGACCACAATACCTGCAGTCATAATGCAAACAAAAAACATAACTCTGATAATGTATGCACTGTCCTTGAAGTTGATTGGTCCACACCCGAGACAGCTTTCCTTAGAGCCTAGTCTCACGTGGTGTTGGACCAGATGACGCCAAAAGGCGCACGAGTTGTCTCGGGTGTGGACCAATCAACTTCAAGGACAGTGCATACATTATCAGAGTTATGTTTTTTGTTTGCATTATGACTGCAGGTATTGTGGTCTATGAAAACACGACTCCTTGTAAAAGGTGTCAGTTTTGTTGCCAGATAAAAGGGTAAAAAAACAATTATCATAGTGTGGTTATGGTTAGAGATAGGTTTTCATTGGTTATGCTGGTTAGAGTTAGGACTATGGTCTGGTTGGTTCGAGTGTTTAGAGCCTGGGTCGGGCCCTGCTCAGTTCGGGATGCGAGCGGTGTGTGGCCATGCTGGTGACCGTGAGCGATCGCGTTTCTCCACAGCGAGAGTGAGCGGGCACGAGGTGGGGATC